CACCAGATATCTCTGGGTAATGTATTGTAGGCAGTACCTTTTGCTGTGATTGTAACTTCTCGTTGCTCCAAGGCATTTGATCGTATAATCTATTCCTCTGTTATGAGTCATTTCGATAGGCATGATCGGCAGAGTGGTGAATAATCAGTATTAGTGCAACACGTGATAAATCGTTGAAATTCCATTGGATAACGTCGCAGGTACTATGAAACAATAGTGCCCGCCTGAGCGGGCACTATTGCTTGCGCGACGCATTGTTATTCATGTTATTGCATTTATGCATTGTTATTTGCATTGTTCGAATTAAATTTCCCTTACCAGTAGCAGTTTTCCTGAGTCATCGACAGGTGGCGAGATATCGTTGTTATCAGTCAGACGACAACAACATGGAGCGCTCCAGATTTTTTTATTCACTTCATATTTGCCGAGTAGATTGCAAAGTCATGTCATGTTGTTGGGGGCACTATGCTCTCATAGTGTTGCTTTGGGTAGGAATAGTACCTATACCTTCCCTCAGCAACACTATGAGAGCATAGTGCCCTCAACAACAGGCATTAATATATAAATAGGGTATTGTGTTAGGTCCTGCACACAACCTACCTAATAAACTATGCTAATTATAGTTATTGACTTCCCAACAAATTTAATATCCTGAAGAAGTGGAAATTATGTTGCCATGTGATTTTAGAGCATACATGTAGTCTAAGCTGTTGTTCGTGAGAAACTATTGCCAAAATCTTTCTATAATTTGTGCATGAGTGTGAATTTACTGCATAAAAATGCTAAGACAAAACATTTTTGATCCAACTATTTTACTCTACAATGTAAGTTCATCCATTTTTGCAGGAAATGCGGCGTAGGTGGCATAGTTTATTAGGTGGGATGTGTGTGGGATATAAGTTATAACACACTACCTGCAGCCAGTAATTCTCCTCCAAGTATTAATCGTGTCCACTTTCAGTATTCCTCATTTATTTTGCACTGAAATAGACTAGTTATATCACTTCACTGTTTGCTGGAAGTTGACGATAATTGCTTTTGACATATTATGATATACCATACATAAGGTCCCTTAAAGTTTAGCTTTTCAATTGGTGTTGTTCAATATTGGAATGTTCTTCCTTCTTCTTTAGTTGATTGTAATTTTGAAGTCTTTTCTAGTACAGTCTGCAGTGTTATTTGTGTATTTGATTAACTGTGTCTTTCTCTGTCTTCGACATAGTCCATTGGGCTATGAAGATTAATCATTATGACGGTATGAAGTCACCACTGTAGCTGATACATAGATAATGAATAGATGAGAGGTGTAGGGCGCCATCTCTAGGTAAGAAAAACACAGAATATGAGACGGACGAGGGCATAAAGCAGACGAACTGTTGAGCACTAGCGTTAGCAACACTACTAATTGTACGTATCCCTGTCATGCTTGACCTTCAGCATCTGACCTTGACGAGGAGGTCATCGCAGAGGACTACGATGGTCTCGAAGCGCGCACCGATGGCACCGAGCGCCCGGCCACCACCAGGGAGCGCCGGGTGGCGGTAGAAAAGACTCGCCAGGTGGCGCGCAGTGATGGAGAATCGGAGGAGGACGGGGAGAAGGAGGCGGTTGCTTCGGCGGCGGAGGAGAGGGCCGGCGGGAGCGTGGCGGGATGTGAGAACAGATGGAACCCGTATCACGAATGCCACGACTACTGTCGCATACGGTAACATGTGTCCTCCAGCCGGCACGCGTCTTGTTTGTCGTTCACGGTTTGACAGTGACAAAGTCAGGATTCTTCTGTAGTGCAGTGTGTGTGGATGCCAGTGCAATGTGATGATGAAGAGTGATTGAAACTCAAATGCCACAGTGCCTGTGCATCTGTATAAATTTCTCACAGTGCCTGTGAATCTGTATTAATTTCTCACAGTGCCTGTGAATCTGTATTAATTTCTCTTGTCAGACACAGTATTGAAGTGGAGAGAGCAATTGTGACATTTCTGTGGCCAAGTCTCATCAGCTCTCCTGACCTTGGCTTTGCTAACCTTAGCTCTGCTAACCTTAGCTCTGTTAACCTTGGCTCTGTTAACCTTAGCTTTGCTGATCTCTCACGTTGTTGACGTATCGTCGCAGGTACGGGAAACGCAGGAAGCAGCCGGAGGCGGCGGTGGACGCTCGCAGGAGCAAGCTGTTGCGGAGACATCCAGTACCCACCGGCTGGAAGGAGGTCCTAGATGGCGCCACGTACGATACGACAATGTCCTAGCTAAACGTCAGCCTGGCATGATGTTCTCCACACGCCGTTAATACAGTGGACCCCCCGAGATACGAATTTAATTTTGTTCCAAAGATTTGTTCGTATCTCGAAATATTCGTATATCTCGAACCCCATATAGGACGTACAGCAATTTCTCGTACAGCAAGTGTAATCATGAGAGCACAACCACATTCAGGGAGTCACGTACTTAAACTGATTCACCGAAAGAGCGCGCGCTAGGCTTATTCCCTGATTGGCTGATGCGTAAGACGTTCGACGAGTCACCATGGATTTCAGCGTGTTATTTCGATTTCCGTGAAAATGTCACTTTCTACGGGAACTTGACTGCGTGCAAGCGCGCCTCTGTCGCATCATTTCCCCCCCCAGATGGAGCTGATGCTGTGAACGTTAACTTTACAGCGGCCGCTACTACTACTGGAATATGACGAGCGATGAGGTAGCGTGGCTGCCGCCGTCACACCCGAGGGCACTGGTAACTCGCTCATGTGACATCGTGAGAGGTAGGTGGCACCGCTGTCATTTTTGCAGAGAGTTACGAACATCACCCCTGTCTTGTTTCCGCCATACACTGATACAATGCTGATATATATATATATATATATATATGTATATCACACGTGCACACACACACACACAAATACACAAACACGTTGCGCCCAGACGTAAAAAGTGTGATGAGTCAAATACTCTCATTGTTGCCACTAGGTGGCGTGCAATGGTTAAAACCTGGCTGTGAGGGGAAGCTGGTCCACATTTCAGTCATAGAAAGGAAATCTCCATGCTTTGTGTTTGAACCCTGGTTGAGATCCTTCCCTACAGACCTTCCCCCCATACTTTGCGGTTAATCCCTGGTTGACCCCCTTTCCCAGGTATGGCCATGCTTGGTCATTGAACCAGGGTGCGAAATTAACGGGAGTCCGGAGTCAAATACTCGCTGATTTACTGCCGGACTCCCTGATTTGACATATGCAGGAGTCCGTGTGACTCCCTGAAAATTCTGCCATTCTAACTATAGTTCGTTCCAGAGCACGACCTCACGGAATTACCGTATATTTTCAGCAAATGTCCAAAGAAAATTTGGCAGACGTGCAACTGCATGAATCTTCAAAATAAGCACATGCGTAATTATTGTTAATATCTTTATTTTTGAACTTCAGACTGCAGACTCCATCATTTTGCCGCAGACTCCCTCTTTTTGAGGGCAGGGAGTCCGTTGGACTCGCTTGTTCAAAAGTTAATTGCTACCCTTGTTGAACCCTTGTTATTTGCCTCCTCCCACTTGCCCTCATGCTCTGTGATTAACCTGTGGTTGATATATAATCGACTTACGGTTGATTCCGCATGATTGTCTCACACACAGATCTCATTAAGAATGGCAGCAGTGCAGTTGATCCGGTCACGTTCGCGGTGACGGCTGCACTGTTGCCGCCTACCTCCGCCGTTTCCACGCACGTTGACGGTGAAGCCATGCAGGTGGGCGGGGAAGAGGAGGACGAGGAGGAGGATGATGATGATGATGATGATGATGAGGAGGAGGAGGAGGACGATATGAGCGAATCTGAGGTGAGCGAACCGGCGAGCATGACACGGAGGACTGACTCGTGCGTGTTGGCGTTATTCTGTAGATAGAAATCCTTGTCATGATTTCGGCTGGGTGGAAATTTTTCTGTGCTGTTTGTTTTGATTACCGCCGCCATTGCTTGTGAATCTCGGACTATTTCGCGATAGCACTAGCCATTGGCCAATTTTAAAATAGAAACAGAGTAAACTACACTGAATCAGATGCCCTTTTGTTTGAGTAAGGTGCACTATGTGTGCACTTGTAACTTGTTGCTAAACTAAAGCGCCATTTGCCAATTTATTGTCGTTATAATCGAATATGCGATGGTGTTACGACGTGTTCTATTCCAATTTTCTGTGCTGTAACAGCATAAATTCTTAGTGTTATTCAAGTTGGTGTAATCAGTAATATATCCGCTTTGAGGTGAGACTATATATTTAGCTACATATTTTTCGGATCAATTTGTTTGGAGCAATAATTTCGCAATAAATCCTTTAACATTCGTTTACATTTGTGTTCTACAATACCTATCCTACTGGCATGATTGACAGACACTTCTATTCTATTATTGCTGTTATAGGACGTTCTAAATTAAAATGCTTAGCAATAAAATGCTGGCATGCACGAGTAAAATACACATATTAAATCTACAGCCTGCATTTACTGCAATCGCAACTGCAGGAGGGGTGGTGTGTTTATCTTATCCAGGTGAATAGATGAATTATATATCAGCTAGTACATGTCTAAAATGGCAACTGCATCCAGGTAATATAATATACATCCAGGTGGGGGGGGGGGTGGTTATTATACCAAGGTGGATAGATTAATTAATATCAGCTAGTACATGTCTGAAATAGCAACTGCGTCCAGGTAATATAATATACATCCAGGTGGGGGGTGGTTATTATACCCAGGTGGATAGATTAATTAATATCAGCTAGTACATGTCTGAAATAGCAACTGCGTCCAGGTGGGGGGTCGTTATTATACCCAGAGGGCCTTTGTCAGAAACAAAATTAGTCTTAACATTAGCTTTTACATTAACATTGACTTATAGTCCGTTGTCAGAAATATTGTAACGTTACGAGAATGAAAAATCCTAGCAAATTTTCTCTTAACGTTACGAGATCGCAGACTTTCTCGTAATTTTAAAACCACGATGAAAATAACACAATTGCACAAAGAATTGCAATTATCGTGGATAGATTAATTATATCAGCTAGCACATGGTATTAATCTCGTTATTTATCCTAACGTATGCTGTGTGCAGTGAGTTTTTAATTACATACCCTTGAACTTGGAATGTTTTGAATGTATGTTTGTTGTTTGTTTTTGAACACTCCTTGTACGTTGTAGGATAATGACGAGGAAGAGGAGAAGGAAGCCAGCAAGCCGAAGCGTGGCGCCCCCAATAATGCAACACAAGGCAAGGCGTGGCGGGATGAGGGCACCACTGCTGCAGGGAGAGGAGGAGACTCGAGGGTGGCACGAGGAAGAGGAGGAGGAGGAGGTCCGCCACGTGGCGGAGACAAAGGTATGGGAGATAGAGTGATGCTTGAAGTAAGTGCACCCTAAATGCACTTAGGCCAAACAAAAAAATAGGTGTGTATCCGGTCGACCGACCGTCCCTAAATTTTTTTTCATTTGAAATCTGACAGACAAAACTTGAGATTTTTTACTACAAACACGTTCTGGACTTGCTTACTAACTTATCCCTACCTATACACCACTTTATAGCATGCATCAGAGGGTTATTAGTAACCGAAGAATAAAAAATAAAAAAAAATTAAAAATTAAAATCCCTACCTACCTACCCTACTTTTGTTTTCGATGCAATAGGAAACACACCTATTTTTTTGTTTGGGCTTAGCTGACTCACATCAATGAAGGTGCAAAAGTGTTATTCATGTTTCTTCGTTAACTACTGTTTGGTTCAAGCGGCCATGTCCGCAAACTATAACCATGCTCAGTGCTCACAAAGGAAGCTGTTAGGCTGCACCTTTACCAGCTTCTCCTTTTCCTTTAACTCCTGCCCTGCATCTAATAGCGGTGTAACGATCCACCTCTAATTTACCGATGTATCGATGAATCACGCTACCGCTACGCCACGATACAGTAATCGATTTGCAACATCCGTATCGCAAATACAAACGATACGCATGTTGAATAATGAATGAGGTGAGTTAAACTATTCCACAAATGAATGCAATTTCATTTAAATGGTATTTTGATTATTTTATGAACTCCCACTCTCGATGTCACGTAAAATAAAGAGGATAACTGCAGCTGTCGTAGAAATCTTGGTCAATATGTAAGGCACGCTTGCATTGCCGCGAAAATTGTTAACGCGAAACAGTCTAGTGCTGGTTAACGAGGTCACGTCGTTACTGCGTCCTCGCGCACCGTGTTTAATGAGGGTACGTCGTTACTGCGTCCTCTAGCACCGTGTTTAATGAGGGTACGTCGTTACTGCGTCCTCTAGCACCGTGTATGGTGCGCATGTGAGTGGAAGTGTCAATCTCAGGTCAGGCTAGATGCAATCAGAACTTCTCTCGACGTGCTTCAACCATAATAATAGAATATGGTCACTAACGGTTTACTATATATATGGCTTCTATTCTATGGCTTCGACTCATAGTGCATTAGAATATCGTTGGAATTCGACCATCCTTCTATGCGAACTTACACCAAAATTACAATATAAAGTAATCTGACACTGAATACACCAGAATCCCGATTGGCTAATATATACTGACTAAGCTTGAAATAGCAGACTCCCTGTCGCCATGAAAATGTCAAGTATGGAAATATCTCAGCAGTGCCCTCGCTAGAAGCTCCTAGTCGCACAAAGCTGGTTATTTGTGCGCAGGTCGAATTAGAAATTTGGCTTTACCAGAGTGTGTGTGTGTCCAGTAACATTACGTCAAGTAATTAGCCCTACTTACATTGTACCTAATACCCCCGTCACACCGGGGTGGCGTCCTTACTGCGCTGCTACGGCGACGGAAAATGGGCCCAGAGCGCGCCAAGGTCGCCATA